CCAGACTCCGAGGCCACAGACAGTGAAAGAACTGCGAACATTCCTGGGAATGACTGGGTGGTGCAGACTATGGATTTATAATTATGGATTGCTTGTTAAACCTTTATATGCGCTAACCGCCACTCAACAGAAAAATCTCCAATGGAATAAGGAGGCTATACAAGCCTTTGACCTGTTAAAAAAGGCTCTGATGTCAGCTCCAGCCTTGGGACTCCCAGATGTAAGGAAGCCATTCTTCCTCTTTTCACACGAGAAACAGGGAATTGCATTGGGAATACTGGCACAAGACCTAGGCCCGTATCGTTGGGTAGTCGCCTATTTCTCCAAGCAACTAGATACAACTGCTAAAGGTTGGCCTGGATGCTTATGAGCAGTTGCAGTAGTGATCCTAAATATACAAGAGGCACGAAAATTCACTTTAGGCCAGAAAATGACTGTATTTGTATCTCACACAGTGTCTGCAGTATTAGAAATTAGAAAGGGGGACATTGGCTTTCACCCCAAAGGTTCTTAAAATATCAAGCTGAATTAATAGAACAAGATGATGTGGAGATTGTAGTAACTAACATTATTAACCCAGCTTCTTTCCTGAGTAGAAATACAGGAGAACCTGTACAGCATGATTGTCTGGAGACCATCGAAGCAACATACTCAAGCCGTACAGACCTGAAGGATGCCCCTCTGGAAGATGCTGAGAACTGGTTTACAGATGGGAGCAGCTATGTTTTGAATGGCAAAAGGTATGCTGGGTATGCTCTTACTACCACCCAAGAAATACTGGAATCAGGACCACTGCCTGTGAATACCTCTGCACAAACGGCAGAGATAATAGCACTGACTCGTGCTTTAGGATTTGCCCAAGGCAAGACAGTGAATATTTACACAGACTCTAAGTATGCCTTTGGGGTAGTCCATGCTCATGGAGCAATTTGGAAGGAAAGAGGACTGTTGAACTCACAAGGGAAACACATCAAACATGTGAAGGAAATTCTGGAACTGCTAGAAGCTGTACAACTTCCAAGAAAAGTGGCAATCATGCATGTTAAGGCCCACCAAAAGGTGAACTTGGATTTGGAAAGAGGAAATGAACTGGCGGAGAGGCAAAACAAGCAGCTAAAAGAGAGGTAAAAATAGAGGGAGTTTTAGTTCCTGATGGGCAAATCATCCCAGAAGGTAAGCCTAATTATACTAAAGAGGATCAAAAGTTAATTATAGACCTGGAAGGACCATATAATGAAGAAGGTTGGGCCATCACTCCCCAAGGGAAGGTAGTAATTCCCTCTTGTTTAGCTAGACACCTGGAGCGAGAGGAACACAGGAAAGGGCACTGGGGAGCCGAGGCCCTATACCAGTATTTGTCAAGAGTATTAGAGCTAGAAATCTGTATACCATAGTAAGACAGGTGACTCAGCAGTGTGACCTTTACCTCCAGACTAATCCTAAGAATACCCCCACTCTGGAAGTAGGCCAGATTGGAAAAGGAAATGGACCGGGACAACAGTGGCAAATTGATTTTTCAGAACTTCCAAGAAAAGGGGGTATCGATATTTACTGGTATTAACGGATACCTTTTCAGGTTGGCCAGAAGCATTGCCCAATAGATCTGCCAAAGCCCGGGAAGTGACAAAAATATTAGTACAGGAAATAATTCCACGCTTTGTTGTCCCAGCGACTATATCCTCAGATAGAGGACCACACTTTATCTCAAAAGTAGTTCAGCAAATCAGTCGCCATCTGGGTATAGACTGGCAACTTCACATTCCTTATCGTCCCCAATCTAGTGGCCAGGTAGAAAAGATGAACCATTTGATTAAACAGCAAATAGTGAAACTTGGACAAGAGTCAAACCTGACCTGGCCCCAGGCTCTCCCTCTGGCACTTTTGCGTATACGAGCAAAACCGAGGGCCAGGGAAGGGTTGAGCCCTTTTGAAATGTTATATGGCAGACCTTATGCGGTACAAAAAGGAACATCAATGCAAGTTGGGGAGGAAACTATGACTTCATACATGATAGCATTAAGTAA